CTTTACAAATGCACAGGGTGCCAAAAATGTATGCACATTTTAAGAAAGGAAAAAACTGTATTAAAATTGTAATACTCGATATATTCCGATAACAAACAAGTCATATTTGACTTCTGCAATTACAAGAGGTGCTCAAAGTGGTTACCATCAGCATCCAGACACTTCTGATTATGGCGAACTACTGTGTACACATTTTTTTGGAACCCCCAGTAGAATGCACATAGCCATCTAAAGAGGGATGATGTGAAGACCAGTAAGTTCGGGGCCTAAAATTACCTAGCTGAATCACTTGAGTTGGCACTGCAAGTCTAGTGTTGCACTTCTGGCAAAAGCCAACAGATCCTTCAGTGGGGAAGCAACTCAGTATCCCTCTGCACGAATGGAACAAGCGTGCAGAAGTGCCAACTGATTGCAAGCTTCTGGGAGCTAAGTTAAAATTGGAGGCACATTTCATGCTCATTCCAGGAAAGGCAAACGTTTTAGAAAAGGATTATTTAATCATCATTGGTGGATATCACTACCTGTGATTGTGTATGAGTTCTTTACTTGTGGCATGCCTCTGATTGTATGAGCAGTGACTCATGCAGAGTCGCAGCAGGCAGAGACTTTTTAGCATGATTCTCGTGTCACTCAGAGAGATAGAATGATCTGATTGTATCTGATGCAGATACATATTGCTTCAGTTACATATTATAAGTTATAAGTTATACGTATTATAAATTATAAGAAACTACCATATTATAAATTTCAGTTAAACTGACCCTAAACAAAGCCATAAAAAGGGGTTGCCTCCCTATCTACATAGATTTCAGTAATCAAATTTGAATCCATCAGAAGGATGTGACAAAATTACTCATTCCCAGAAGGTGGCAAGGCCAGAGCAGTTAATCATACAGTAATACAGATGGCAGCCTCCACTGGGCTAAACACATGAAATAAAGACCCAATGGCTATTAAAAACAAATACAAATTTACTACTGTAGGAATGAATGATTTTAAGCAAGATGTGCCAAATTTGGGGACAGAATACTGGACTCTTTCCACTGACTGTTTTTCTGGACAGACTCACTCTCTCCACATTGTTGCTTTCACCAAACAGAATTAGAGGCATGTCTTTGTCCACATGGACAAGTATCAAGAAACTTGCAGGGCTGGGAGTGGGGCGGGGGTGGGGAGCAGATTTTCTTTTTGAGGGGGCAACTTGCAATTGAAAGGATTAGGCCTCCCCGACCCCCCAGTTTCCCGGCTCTTTCTTACTCTTCCAGAAATGGCCTTTGGGTCTTTCCCCTAAGCTTATGTTATGGAATGCAAAATTTACCCTACAGTTTGGGCATTACTGTTGCAGATCAATGAGAGGTCAGTTGTGGGTTAGTGTGGGAAGGGATAGATTTTCATGGTTGGAACGTATTGTTAATATGATTGGCAAGGTTATGGGCTGTACATGTGCACCTATAAAATTCAACACAACACGCCGATAATATTAGGAATAAGCCATAAGTACCAGTTGGCGAGACCCATCATTTAAGTGGACCACAGCATTTCTGCCCTATGATGGGCAGTCTCAAGGTTCTGATTGGGCAGGAAAAATAAACTAGAAGTTAGACAGAGCCCATTAACTAAGCACAAGTAATACGCAGAAGTCAATTGGATTAAATTCAGTGGAACGTAACTTTGAAGTCAATATGCATGAGACCAGACTGCAATCCCATGTCAAATTCAGCAGGAGTTCTCAGTGACATGGATGGCTGGATTCTAATCCTACATATGCATACTTGGGGATAAATCTGATTTTATTGATGCTATTTGCTCACTATTATTAGTATGTATAGTGTTACAGCATAAACGGAAACATGCTATTACTTCCTTATACCTGCATACTGTGTCCCTAATGCAACCAGTGAGATCAGTATCTGGTTTTATTTCTAACATCACTGGGTTGGGTGCAGGCTTTGTCATGCTTACGAGCAGAACTACAGAAATCAATGGGACTTTGGTTATGTGATTCCATATAAAGTTTTTATTGCAGAGTTCATTCACAGAATTTTACAGGGTGTCTAGATGATGTCCTGTTCACATTGTACCCTTCTGTGTTTTCCCACTGCTGTTTCTATCTTTTTTCTCACTGGAATATGTCCATTAGCCACCCTGGCTTGCTTGCAAGAGGATAAAAATGTAATATAATAAATAATAATAATAGGGGAAAACACAAACAAAATGTCTTTTATTATGGTGCTAGGAGCAGTCCACCTGGAGACATCCCTACTCATGATTAATTTAAGCCCTTTTGATTTCAACAGCTGTACTCTAAAGGTAATTCAGACAAGGCCTTTATGGTGCCATTACCTTGCTTCATGCATGGGATTTTATGGGGATCTAGATGATATATTTTACTCATAACTCTCTCATTTCCTCACAACTTATTCTGCTTTCTTTTTGCAGAAAATCCATTAAGGAGAAGAACCTAAGCAGCATGGTTTAGCATGATACCTTTATCATGAGTAACTAACTATACCATCTTTCTCACCTCATGCTTAGATTACTGCCATGAACTGTACATGGGGCTGCCCTTGAAAACAGTCTGGACACTTCAGTTGGTGTAGAACAGGGCCAGCCGTCTGCTGACTGGGATGGGCCAATACAAGCACATAAACCTTGTTCTCTATTAATTGCTACCAGCTGAAGTACAGGCCCGCTTCAAGGTGCTTATACAAATGCATAAAGCCCTAAATGGCCCAGGATCTGGATATCTTAAGGAATGCCTATTCCCATATGTACCTACCTGGACCCTGAGATCTTCAATGGAGGTCCTTCTCTGAAAGCCACCTTTAAAGGAAGCAAGGAAGGTGGTAGCAAGGGGAAGGGTCATTTTGGTTGTAGCACTCCATTTACGGAACCAGGCCCCCACAGTTGTGAGCCTGATGCCAACATTACATGCATTTTCATGCCACGTTAAAACCGTTTTATTTTCCTGTCATTTTAACTGTTGATTCGAGGTGTGTTTTTATATTGGTTTTTGTTATAATGATTGGTTGCACTGTTATCATTTTATTCTTTGCGTATTTTTTGGTATTACTTTGCATTTTTGTATAGATTTTATGAACACCTGTTGTTTTAATATTTTAACCATTTGAAAGCCATTGTGAGAGCAATGTGCTTAGAAGAATGGTGTATATATAAACATATTTTAAAGAAATAAATAATTTTTTCAATAGGTCTTATTCCCAGGTAAGCAGGTATAGTGGTGAGTATCACGGTGAGCCAGTGTGGTGTAGTGGTTGCAGGTGTACTGGTTACAGCTGGGTTCTAGTCCCCACTCAGCCAGAAAACTCACTAGGTAGGCTTGGGTCAGTCACTTACTCTTAGCTGAGCCCATTTCACAGGGTTCTTGCAAGGAAAACATGGAGAGGAGGAAGAGCAGGTAAGCCACCCTGGGGTGCTTGTTGTTGTTACATGCTGTTAAGTCATCTCCAACTTATGTCATCCAAAACATCAGCTCTTCTAAAGGTTATGACTTCCTTTATGGAATCGATCCATCTCCAAGCTGATCTTCCCCCTTCATCTGCTTTCGCTATTTCCTAGCATTATTGGCTTCTCCAGTGAGTCTGTCCTTCTCGTGATGTGCCCGAAGTATGATAACTTATGTTTTGCCCTTTTTGCATCTAGATCAAGCTTGGGCTTGATTCGATCTAGGATCTACTTGTTCGTCTTTCTGTCCGTCCAGGGTATTCATATAGTTCTTTAGTAGCATAAATATTTCAAAAATCAATTCCCTTCCTGTCAGCTTTCACACCCATACAAAGCGAAACAGTCCAGATATGTGAAAACTATTGGAGAAGACTAGGCGCTCTGCACATCCTCAGATGCGCCTTCCTAGTGCTTGTTTACACCCTGAAGGCGCAAATGGCACGCTCGTTCCCACGCTCCCCTTCAGTCCAATTAGCTCTTCTGGCCACTCGTTCACCGCAGGAACTACATTTCTTCGAAAGCGCTGAAACTCGCTGTTTTTACCCGGTGAATTCTGGGAGTTGTAGTGTGAAGAAGAAACAGTTTCTCTTCTCTTTCCGGAGACCCTTGTAGGATTTAAAAAAAAGGGGGGGAAAGAAGACTACAGCCCCCAGTAGGCACCGCAAAGGAAATGCGTGAGGATTGTGACGTAAGCCAAGCGTTGCAGGTGAGCTTATATCAGAGATGCCGAGAGCGCAGTGGGAAACTGTGAGTACATAATAGGTTTGGGCGGGACATGGAGGATTGTGGGTTGGGAGTGGGGAAAGCGAAGGGGGACTGCAGTTTTTTTGCTTGAATATTTTGCATATCTCTAAATCGGAAGCATCGTGTCACACAGAGGGTTTTCCCCTGGGCAGTTTGAGGAGCGCCCTGGGTAAAAGCAGAAGTGTCTTTTGCACCAGCAGCCAAGCGCTCTTGCCCCAAGCAGTTGGGTAGTTCACCACCAGCGCATGGTGATAGCTGTCTCCTATACTTTCTTTCTAGCTTCTGGTAATCTGAAGTATACAGCCCCCTAAAACGGAGGATTCTTCGTTAGTAATACTGATTTAACAGACGCCGAAAGACTTTGGCTGCGTAGACCATCTTGCAATACCTCCCCTGGTGTTTGGAGGACAAACAAAGCCTATCTTTGCAACCACGAGGGATCGAAACGTGCCGTTTTGCAAAAGAAGGATGCTGCATGCTCAGGGCTTATGTTCTTTGGATTTTCCATACAGCTGCGGGCTAATTGGGGTAGTCTTAAGGAATTTGCCAGCATGCAGCGCTGTGAGGAAAGCGCTCTGGGAGAAACAGAAAAGATCAGAGATGGCCTAGATCATGCTGAGCCTGGCCAAATGCAAGAAGAGAAACCTTCCCCCGCCCCGTCCCATTCCGCGCAACATTCCGTGTTTTATAAAACACACAATATAGCTTCCATATAGCCTGAAGTACCTGATCCTGCCTAATCTTGGAAGCTGAGCAGGGTCGGGCCTGGTTGAAATCTGAATACATGACTTAATGTGAGCTGCCCAGAGAGGGCACTGTATAGAAATCTAATAATACACTACTGAATAACTTACAGAAAGGCTTTAATTAATTCCCCTTTATTCCCCCCTTTGCCCCCTCCTCAAATATACAAAGCAACATGTTTGCCTAGCTATTTTGTCTCTGGGCTGCTTAAGCCAACCACAGTTTGGGATTGTGGTAGAAGAAAACAGTGGCCTTGTCTGTAGCTTGGCATTTTGCAACTTGCCTTGTTCTCTGTGTGAGCCATTTTATGGTGACATCCATGGCAGTTTCTCAGACTCTCAGTTGTGCCCACCAATGTGAAATGGTTGGGGGCCCTGCTGTGCGGTGTTTTGGGCACCTTGCACTGAAATTGCAGCACTCCCAGTTTGTTTCATAATACTAGTTGGATGCTCAGGTGGTGTCATTGGAAAAGACAGATATACTCATCCTGACACTACCATAGGAACAAGGTGGCTGAACTGTGCAGCATCAATTTCCAAGGGCCTTTTAATTATTCCTCATCAACCATGTGGATGGATGGCGTATTAGTGTAAGATGAAGGCCCTTACATAAGGTGAACTGTGGTGGGTGCATCACATCTACCTGAGTACATTTGACTCCCTGTAGAAGCACCATGTGGAGATGCCATTTGACTTCTTCACTCTATTTCATCAGCAAATTTCAAGGATTGAGATCTTCAAGGACTGGCAGGAGCAGTGGGGTTCCAGAGCTGTTTTCTCCTCTGGCTCAGGCATGGGGAACCTATAGCTTTATGGGAGCTGCTGGATTCCAGCTCCCATCTGCCTCTGCCAATATGGCTGGCGGCCAGGGACCTGTAGTCTGCCCAGAGTGTTGTAAACTGCTCAGAGGGAAAATAATGTACATAGATCCAGAGGGATACCATTCCTACATCCCTGCACTAGATCAACACATTATAGAAAATGGTGGATGGTACATGTTTTGCTGCTTTGTAAACACAGGCAGAATGGACTAACTTATGTTGTATAACAAAGGTAGTTGTCACTGTGGTTGTAAAGGACACTTGTTCGCCATCACACTGACCTGAGCTTACTGCCTCTGCTATGTTTCTTGGTATTCCCTTAATTTCTGTCTTTTGGGAGGGGTTTCCCTTCATCATTTGCCCTCCAGTGGTTTTGAGCATCCTAAGGAAGAACTAGACAGCAACAGTAGGGTCTTGTAGCCTCTTGGCAGCTGGCAGCCATCTTCACAGTTGAGGATTACCAACCAGGATGGTGTTCTTTTAAATAAAGGAAAAAGTTGACCTCAAAAGTAGTGCATGCTTCTACTTTGTACACCTAGTGTGCCCCTCTGCAGTGCACCTGCTCCTTCTTGTGTGTGCAGACATGCTTTGTTGCTTTCAGTCACCCTTCATCACATTTAGAGGTCCACAGAGTGGGAGACAATCAGAACAGAAATTTGGCAACACCGATGCGTGAAGGTAACACTTTTCTTCAAGAATGGCCTGCCTGAAACAAGAAGATGTGTTAGACTTTTCAGTAGGACTGTTAAAATGCAATGTTGTGCGTGTTAGAATAAAATGATCAATTCCTTGTTGAATGGAAAGTTGCTTTGGAAAGGGAACAAATCAGGATTGGACTTTAAAAGTTAATCTCCTCCTCTCCTTCCAGAAAGCACTGTGTGTGATTGAGCAGAGCAGAGTTGGCTTTTGACATCATACCTGTGGAGGAAAAGGGCGAAGTCATGAGAGTTCTTGGAAGCTGAGGATGCATATGTCTCAAATGCCACTTTGATGGCAATACATGGATGGTGTAACTTGTAAGCCAAAATATTTGGAGTGCCACAATTCCCTGTCACTGGATGCTGTGCCATTTTTTTCTTATTTTACTGGTGCTTCTTGTAAACCGTCCCAAGACACCAGTAATGGGATAGTATATAAAAGCTTTAAACAAATAAATAATAGTGACCACACCTGCTGTAAAGAGAAGGGGTAGAATTTGTAGAGAACGTCTTTGGCAAGGGAAAGAGAAACTGGTAATCTTGCTCAGGTTCTGGTATCCGAGAAGATCCTGAGCCTCTCGCTTTACGTTTGCATTGTTATGGGCTGCATTTTACATTAGCTGTCATAATACAAGTTTTAGACATGACTTGGATTTTTGAACTTTGAAAACGTTAATTTAGAGTCACATTTTTTTTCTTTACTAGAACTTCGCATTTTCTTTCTGATGGCAGATGAAAAATATTTCTTCTTTTTGCTGGTGGTCTAGGAAAAGTGGCTAGCCTGGGCATTTGAGGTTTGATTTTGCTTATCTTTTGCCAAAAAAAAGCAAGGGGCAAAGCTGGATTCTTCTCCATACCCACCACATACACACACGCGTGTGCGTGCACACACACAGACTACGCTCTGCTGCTTTATGTCCTGCTTGATGGAATTCAAACTCACCAGATTAGTTTGCTTTCTTCTTTTTATTAAAATAGTGAATTCAACCAGCTGGCGCCAGGTGCAAATTGGTGGCTCCAGGCAGAGTTAGGTACCTAATGCACCCCTCCAGGCATGTAACAGGATGACTTGTGTGTACAAGTGCAAATCTACATCTGTGTTCTTACAGATCAGATATTTGAACAGCTTCATTTATTAAACTACTGGGCATCAAAACCCCTGGTGATTTCCTGCAATTCTCCCAGGAATCTTTCCATGGATCTTGATCTATCTTTTCTCTACCCCTGTCTTAGATGAATGTTGGGCTGCACCCCTGGGCCTGGCCTGGGTTCAGGGCCAGTCTTGTGTAGGGTGAAGGACATCAGGAAGTTCTTGGGGGACAGTACTGTATGAGCCTTGTGGTCTCTGGGTCCCCTAAGCTAGTCTGCTGCCCTCAGGTGTGACAAAGGATGCTGTCCCTTTGCTTGTATCAAGGCTGGATTCAGCTGCCAGCCTCCTCAGCTTTCATTGGTGGAATGGGCACCATCTTGGCCATTGTCTCAGGAGGCAAATGGTCTTGGGGCATCTCTGCCAGGATTCCAGCCCCAGACTCAGTGGGTTCTGTCCAGAGGCCCAGTCCAGTTAGCAGAATATTTGATTTCAAGAATAGGCCATCTTCTCTCTCCGGAAACTGATGCCTGAGCCAGCTAGGAAATGAAGCAGGGACACAAGAGTAGTTGTATATTTGAGCTACTGGCTTCATAGTAGCTGCCTACCTGATCTAAAGTGTTTGCCGACAGAATGTCAATGATGGTACAATGGACCAGGTGGATTCTTTAGACTTACTGATCCAGTTCCTTTGATATATTCTCTTCCATTTACCATGTGGAAATGGAGTTGCTTTAAATTCTATGCACAACTAGTGGAGAGAGAGAGCAAGTGTGGACAAGCCAGTCCCATGGGGTTTGGTAGCTGAGGAATTTTGGAACTCTGGAACTTCAGCATTTCTTTTCCCTGTCACTTACTTGGAAAAGACTTGCAAGCTCGCATCTGTGCTGGAATCACATGCACAGATCTTCAGATTCTTTCCTGATCAGTTAGAAATGTCCCCTTGCTTCACTCAGTGTGCATTTACCACTGTTCACACATGTTATGCTTTTACTGCTGTAAGGGGGCAAACCGATGCCCCCTAGGTATTGTCTGTGGCCCTGTCAGATTGTTTGGAATCCATCCTCTGAAGTCAAAGATGGTGCTCCAATCTCAGAAGGGGGAATCAGAGATCACCCCTCTCCCCCTTGCAGCTAGTGTGGAAAGACCTATGCCACCTGGCTTCCGAGATCAACTCCAGAGAGAGGGCTTGGGGGGAATTTCAGTGGGCAGGGAGAGAAAGCGATTGGAAAGGCCAAGCTGTGAGCTGCTCTGAGCTTCACCGCCTTTGCTAGATGGGCAGAAAGTGGCTGAAAGCCCATCTAGCCAAAAAAAAAAAAAAAAAAATGCAGGCCAGGTGGACAGGTAGGTAAAGATCACCTCCACTGCTTCCCCTGCTCTACACAGAACACTTCTGAGTTTCATCTTTTGACCAACTGGATAGGACTGTGTCCTAATGTCACCTCAACCAGACCAGGTTGTGTGGAAGAAGACACTCCCCCATTCACCATTGCTTACCTGCCCAGGATGCCGGCCAGCCCCCAAGCAGTCTGAGTGACCCGATTCCAGTACACTGTGACACAGTGGTCACTGCCGCCCAGCTCCTGCATTGTCTGCCTTGTTGGCACTGGCTTCTCCTTGTCCTCAGGCTGCAACCAAGGAGCTCGATTCAGAATCCGCTGTTCATGGGATGAAGCTCTCTGCCTGTGGAAGATGTCTCTGCCCAAGTTTAGGGGATCCCTCTCTTCCCCCCTCACACCACTCTGCATTCCTCGGGGTCTCTTTTTGTGAGCTTACAGGGCTGCCTGGAAGGGGTGGGGAAGTCTGTACAATTGACCCAGCTTAAATTTGGATCCAAACCTTGGTAGAGGGAAAGCACTGCCAATTTCACCAGTGCCGTTGTCTGGGTACCCACCTCTCGTGAAAGAGAGAAGGCCAAGTTCACCAACTCCCATTTCCTTCATCTTTTCTTTTAAGGCTGGAGGGAAGTGTGCAAATTTCTTCAAAGATGATGAAGAATGATGATCTGGTATCTCAAATCCACCAGCACTGGTGCACATGGCCTTTTTCGAGGGCAGCAGGAAGTCTTCACCAGTGAACTTGTCAAGAGTTTTCCCCAGCCTTATCGGTGTCATCGAAATCTAGTCTGGAGGTTCAGCATTTATTTACCCCATCTTTGATTTGATTTGTACCCTGTCTTTCCACCAATAAAATGGTCCACAAGGATGGCTGAAGAGCGATTGTAAGTCCTCTTCCAACATAGTCCATCGATCAGTTAAAGAAACCTAGTTGCAAGCACACTTGAAATGGAATTTCTGTCTTTCACGCATGTGCACCAACAGGAGGGGGGAGCGCTCAGTAGTGCTTTGCAGCCTGCGTGAAATTGGTCATGGAGATCACACATCAGCACGTTTTAATGGTGTGATACAAATCTAAGTCTCTAAAGTGATCCCTTTCAAATTTTACAGCTTAATGAATTAAAAGTCTTGATGGATGCTAGCTAGGATATTTGTTAGGCCTTGCTCAAAAACAAAGTTGGCATTTTGATGGCCAAAATGATGTAACCGAACAGGCACAACTCCAGGGCTGGGTGCAAATAGCGTCGCTCCTTTTTTAGATAATGGACAGAGGCCCTCTATTTTAAAGTTTGCTATGTGCTGGCAGAAATTCAACAGGTGAAACTTTGTGTGCCTCTGCCCATAAAGTGTGGCAGCCCCAGTTCCAGGGCCATTCCAAACTGGGTTTCATACCTCTTCTGTATCTAGCAGTGGAGGGCATGCTGTGGATGTTGACAACTTCAGTTCTTTGTATGAAAAAAACAGCCTGAAGTATTTTCTCATGCCCTTCTGTTTTTCTGTAATTCAGAAGAACGCTTCCCATCCTACAGACTGACTGTGTGAATGTTCCCCTATGCTGGGTACAGAAGGGTAGATGAAGTTGCCCCACAGAAACTCAAGACCAGGACTATCCTGCTCACCTGCTGAGGAAATACAACCCCCTGAATGACCCTTTGTAGGGAAATGCCCTCCGGTTCTCCACCCCCTTCTCCCCAGCTGCTTGTTGAATGCTCAGGCATGCTGGGATTCCACTGCTGGGCAAATGGGATGTTGTTAATTTGTGCTCTGGGAGCATGGAGTTCTCAGGCTGTTAACGTCCAGCACTTCATAGATTTACACCCTGTGCAGTTGGCAAGGCAATTAAATCTCCCAGCAGCCACAGCCTTTTATGAGATGAAGTTCCTTCTGACGATTTTGAAATAGACTGAGGAGATGGAGGCCCCATTTTCACACGCCATTCCCCTAAGGGAGAGGTGGATTAACTGAGCCTGGCTTTTCCCTTTCCTCTCAATTCCGTCATCAAATAATTTTGGGCTTGTTTTCTGCACAGCTTTCCTCCATCTGAAACAGAGGAATCCTGCGTGACTGTGATCTGTAGGATATGCAAGAGAGCATTTTGAAAAACACGTGCTTTCAGTTTTATGCAAGGATCAAGTTTCTTGCCCCTGTGGTTGCTGTAGAAACTGCAACAGTGCGCATGCATGGGCTGTGTTTGCACTTCCAGAAGTGTGTACCTGTGCTGATGGCACAACTAACCCATGAAATCCGTATGGATATGATGGGAGTCCTGGGCACTGCATCGTGGCAGGAAGGAATTGCTAGTGCAGGGCTTGTCTCTTGACATACCATGGAGCTGACAGTGCAAAACTCATCTTGGGCACTAGAGGGGATCAGAGGAGGACTTCTGTGCATCCCTGCAGTTCCACAAGAGTCGTGCGCTGTCTCCTGCCTATCTAGTCCTGCGCATGGAGCGAGGCTTTGCTTGTGCGTTCCAGATGTTACCCAGACCTGGATGTCCTGCACACGGGTGAAGATGACCTCTTGGCTGTGTAGGGGTGGGGAACCTCTTCTACTCTGGGGGCCAAATTAAATTTCGGAGAAGCTCTTGGGGAGCACATTCCAGTGGTGGTGGGGTGGAAGGCAAAGGGGGCTAGGTTGTTGCTGCTTAAAGCTCTTTCTGTCAGTAACGCTGTCTTAGGAGAGGCTTTTCAGTCTTTTTTCAGAAATCATGCCAGAGTTAGAAAATTAAGCTTTGGTGGTGGGGGGAAAGGGGGGGCATCCTTCTGGGAAACTGCAGAGGGCAGGACTGGGACACCAAGCAGGCTGGACATAGTCCCTGGGCTTGAGTTTCAGCACCCTGTTGTAATGTCCGAGGGAACAGCCTCCATTTGATGCAAACTCTCCTACCATATCCT